TTCTGAGTCTCTTTGATGAGAGAAAAGGTGAGAGATAAGTACATAAGTAAAATGAAATCAGCAAAGAAGAACAAACAGTGGTGTAAAGATCCCTTACCTTTCCAGCCTGGGTGGCAGGGCCTAGGAGAGGCAGGCTAGTTAGTTTCAGCCTTAGAAGACCTGGCAGAGGGCAGCAGGAGCCATGTTAGTTTAGGGAAAGCACCATTTCAGAGAGGGGGAGTGGCCTTGGCCTGAGACAGCCTTAGAACAGCCAGGATTGGTTTATCAAAGGGGGCGGAGTTAGACTGTTTGGAGGAAAAGAAGAGGGCTTTTTCAGTCAGTCTGTTGATGTTAGAGTTTAGAGCAGGATTACAGAAGTTTTTAGGAGTTCGTGTTAAGAGTAGGCAGTTTGCCTTAAGTTTGCCAGCGAAGTAAGCTGTAGCAAACTGGGTACAGCTATTTAGGGAAGAAATAGCTGGGTTTTGTAGTTAGCTAGGCCACAGTTGAGGGTAGCTAAGCTACAGTTGTATCTTGGCAGAGATTCAGATCCTGTCAAGAGTACTTGTGTTTAAAGAGAAGAAAATCTTTATATTTGTAACAAAGAAAGAACCATTCACATGCAACCGTTACGTTTTCAAGAACCAGAACATTTTTATCTGTAACAGCCAAGCTTATTAAACAGCATTTACACTTTCTTCTGTACTTTATTCAATAAACTTTCTTGATTATTTTTTAAACTTTAAAAGCCTGAGTCCAGTGTGCCTTTGTGGCTATAGTTTTCTCCATTCAACCTCAACTTGTTTTCCTTTAAAGAAACACATAAGAAGACACAATACTTGGTGGTCTTAAAAAGCATTTTTACCATTTTAAATAGCTAGAGTGTTCCTGTACATTTACTTTGGTGGCAGCGGAAGTTAATTAGTGAGACAATCCCCTCAAACGTTATATTGGTGCCAAAGTGGTGTGAATTCTTTATATTGGAGGGACAGTTGGTGGGATCTGCTTTACCCCCTTGTCCAGTTATTGTTTGGCCACACGACGGGCCTTTATAATTTGGTGGCAGCGGTGGGATTCTTTGTTCCCCCTGCCTCGATATTCTTTTAATATCTTTATAAGTGGCACCATCTTTATGATTTTAGCATAACACGAGGCACTAAACATCCTAAACATCCTAAAGAAGGCATGAGCAAACTTTGGTCCTCCAGGTGTTTTGCACTTCAACTCTCACAATTCCTAACAGTCTACTAGCTGTTAAGAATTGTGGGAGCTGGAGTCCAAAACACCTGGAGGAGCGAAGTTTACCCATGCCTGCCCTAAAGGCGTTGGTTGTCTGATCTTGGAAGCATTAGCTCTGGTTACTACTTGGATCGGAGATGGCCAGTGGTTACTAGGTGCTGTAGGCTGCATTTTAGAGGACGCTGCACACACGCACACAATCTGTCTTTGGTCCGATCCTCTTCCTTAATCCCCTTGATCCATCTTGAACACAAATCTTTCTCTTTTTCTGCTACTTTCTACCTTAACAATCATTACTGTCTGTTTTCTATTAATCGGTCTTACGATAAGCTGAAAGTCTGTGAAAGACATTCACAGCTTAGATGCCTTGGCTTTTAGGGAGAATTCAGGCTGGATTTATTTTTCTAGGACCAATTTATTTATCTTCTTAGCTTCCATACTATCCACAGAAGTTTTCTCCATCAATGTGTTATTGAAGGCTTTCATGGCTGGAATCACTGGGTTGCTGTGAGTTTTCTGGGCTGTCTGGTCATGTTCCAGAAGCATTCTCTCCTGATGTTTCGCCCACATCTATGGCAGGCATCCTCAGAGGTTGTGAAGTCTGTTGGAAAAAAGGCAAGTGAGGTATATATATATATAACAGATCCCTCAACCTCTGAGGATGTCTACCATAGATGTGGGTGAAATATCAGGAGAGAATACTTTTCTCCATCATACTTCATATGAAGCGATTTTCTTTATATCATATTTAATACTGTATATATCAGACATGTGCCATATATATATTCATATTTCATTTGCGCAGATTTTTTTTCCCTTTTAGCATCATATATCATGTATAATGCCATGTATAATCATATAAAATTCATCCAGCCAGTTTTAATCATGCATTTTAAACTTGTGTCTTATGTTTAATCTGTGTATTTTAATACATGTTTTGTAGAAATGTTTTAATTTTGTAGAATGTTTTTAGATTATTGTGTATTTTAGCAATGTTGTAACATGAGGAGAGGTGGATAAGAAATAAAATTTTATATATATATTTCATGAGCTGTTTTTATTATTCTTTTCATATATAAATGTATATATCCATATAAATATTTCATGAGCTGTTTTTCTTCCTTTTTCATGTCATATATGATCACGTTTGATATTCATGTATGTATATATTCATATATATTTTATATGAGCTAATTTTCCTTTTTCATGTTATAATGAAGTAAGGAATTCAACTCATACGAAATATATGAATATATAAATTTGTATATATTTCATATATTTATATATATTTCATATTCATGTGTGTATTCATATATTTCAAATGAGCTGATTTTATGTTATATATGTGTTGTTGTTCATTCATTCAGTCGTCTCCGACTCTTCGTGACCTCATGGACCAGCCCACGCCAGAGCTCCCTGTCGGCCGTTACCACCCCCAGCTCCCTCAAAGTCAGTCCAGTCACTTCAAGGATGCCATCCATCCATCTTGCCCTTGGTCGGCCCCTCTTCCTTTTGCCTTCCCTTTCCCCAGCATAATTGTCTTCTCTAGGCTTTCCTGTCTCCTCATGATGTGGCCAAAGTACTTCAACTTTGTCTCTAGTATCTTTCCCTCCAGTGAGCAGTCGGGCTTTATTTCCTGGAGGATGGACTGGTTGGATCTTCTCGCAGTCCAAGGCACTCTCAGCACTTTCCTCCAACACCACAGCTCAAAAGCATCGATCTTCCTTCGCTCAGCCTTCCCTAAGGTCCAGCTCTCACATCCGTAGGTCACTACAGGGAATACCATGGCTTTGACTAGGCGGATCTTTGTTGCCAGTCTGATGTCTCTACTCTTTACTATTTTATCGAGATTGGACATTGCTCTCCTCCCAAGAAGTAAGCGTCTTCTGATTTCCTGGCCACAGTCTGCATCTGCAGTAATCTTTGCACCTAGAAATACAAAGTCTGTCACAGCCTCCACGGTTTCTCCCTCTATTTTCCAGTTGTCAATCATTCTTGTTGCCATAATCTTGGTTTTTTTGACGTTTAGCTGCAACCCGGCTTTTGCGCTTTCTTCTTTCACCTTGATTAGAAGGCTCCTCAGCTCCTCCTCGCTTTCGGCCATCAGAGTGGTGTCATCTGCATATCTGAGGTTGTTAATGTTTCTTCCAGCAATTTTCACCCCAGCTTTGCATTCATCCAGCCCCGCACATCGCATGATGTGTTCTGCATATATGTTATATATGTATGAATGTATATATTAATATATGTCATATGAGCTTTTATTTCACACAAATATCATATTCCTGTATCATATCATATCTATATCATGTGTATCTGTGGACATATTTATTTATTTATTTAAAACTTTTATATCCCGATCTTCTCACCTCCATAGAGGGACTCAGACTGGCTTACTTACATGTGTGTGTAGATACACACACACACACACATATATATACACATACATATACAGAAATACGAAATAAAATCAGCATATATTCAGCTGATTTTCATAGATTTCTGTATCCTCTCTCTCTCTCTCTATACACACACATACACACGTACACACATGTACACAGATACACATGCATATATATATATATATATGAAACAAGAATATGATGTGTGTGAAATATATGAATATATACATTAATACATATATGACATAAAAATCAGCTCATTTGAAATATATGAATACATAGGCAAAGGTAAAGGTTGTCCCCTGACATTAAGTCCAGTTGTGTCCGACACTGGGGTGTGGTGCTCATCTCCATTTCTAAACTGAAGAGCCGGTGTTGTCCATAGACACCTCCAAAGTCATGTGACCGGAATGACTGCATGGAGCGCCTTTACCTTCCCGCTGGAGCGGCACCTATTGATCTACTGACATTCGCATGTTTTCGAACTGCTGGCCGGGGAGCTGGGGCTAACAGCAGGAGCTCATGCTGCTCCCTGGATTTGAACCTACAACCTTTCGGTCAACAAGTTCAGCAGCCTATGAATACATGAATATGAAATATATAAAATATATACAAATGTATATAGTCATATATTTCATATAAGTTGAAATCCTTATTTCATTGTAATATGAAAAAAGGAAAATTAGCTCATACAAAATATTTACACATTAATACATTAATATATGTGTGAGATATATGAATAAATACATAAATACGTATGTGTGTGAAATATATGAAGATAGTGGGTTGTTGTAGGTTTTTCCGGGCTATATGGCCATGTTCTGGGGGCAATTTTTCTCCTGACGTTTCGCCTGCATCTATGGCAAGCATCCTCAGAGGTAGTGAGATCTGTTGGAAGTAGGAAAAATGGGTTTATCTATCTGTGGAATGACCGGGGTGGGGCAAAGGACTTTTGTCTGCTGGGGCTAGATGTGAATGTTTCAGCTGATCACCTTGATTAGCATTCAATGGCTTGGAAGTGTCCGGGGGGAATCCCTTGTTGAGAGTGATTTTATGTGCCTGTTTGTTTCCCCTCTGTTGTATGAAGATATATACAAGATATACATATGAAGATATACATTCATACATTAATATATGTGTGTGTGTAACATAAAAATCAGCTCATTTGAAATATGACATATGACCATCTACATTCATACATGGATAGAGAGAGAGAGAGAGAGAGGGAAGGGCCCTTCTTCCAAGGATCCCTCTGCTCTGGCCACATCAATTCCCAGGAGCCTTTTCGGCCATTTTCTCCTCAGCGACGGCTTCAGGTCGCCAGGCAATAGTTTCCATAGTGACCATTCCACACACAGAGGCCTCCGCCGCCGGCGCAATCCCCGCGGCCCCTTTTGATCTCGCGAGAACAGGCTCGGCCTCCTTGGAGCCGTCGCGCCAGTGCCTTCCTCCCGGCGGCGAGGCATGGAGGGCGGCGACGGGGCGCGTGGCGGCGGCGGCGCGTGGGGGGAGAGCCTCTTCTCGCTGGAGCTGCTGGTGGAGTCTGCGCGCGTGGAGCCCTGGCTGCTCCCGGGGCCCTCGCCGGCCAGCTCCTCCCCCTGCTCCTCCGCCTCCTCGGCCTGCTCGTGGGGCCCGCTCCGCCCCGCGGTGGCCCTCCGCCTGCTGGACTTCCCGACGCTGCTGGTGCGCGCCCCGCAGGCGGCCTTGCGGGGCCCGCTGGTGCCCTTCGGCCGGGGCAAGTCCTGCCTCTTCCGCCTCCGGCCCGAGTCCCTGCGGGAGGTGCTGCGGCGCTCCCCGCTCTACGCGCTGCTGCTGGGCCTGTCTCCCTCCGGGCCGGGCCCCGCCCGCCTCCTGGCCTCCTGCAGCGTCTCCCTGGCCGACGCCGCCGAGGAGCTGCTCCTCCTCCCGCCGGGGCCCTCCGGAGGCCGAGGGGGCCGCTTCCCCCTGCGGGACCTGGCCGGGGAGCCCGTGGGCGAGCTGGCCCTCAGCTACCGCCTCAGCAACCTGGGGCCCTGTCCCAGGAGCCACCTGGGCCAAGGCGCCGCCCCGGCCAGGCCCTGCCTGCAGAAGGGGGCCGAGGAGCCCAGCAAGAGGCAGCCCAGCCTGGAGCTCATCCCCGAGGGGGACGAGGAGCAGGACCTGGCCCCAGAGCCCTTCAGCCTGGGATCCACAAGCAGCGGCCACGACGAGGCGCCTTTCGATAGCCACACAGAAGCGGGTGCCAGGAGCCCCTCAGGGACTCGCTCCAAGAGCCCCACATTGCCTCACTCCAAGAGCCCCACAGGGATTCGCTCCAAGAGCGCCACAGAGACTCGCGCTAAGAGCCCCACGGTGCCTCGCTCCAAGAGCCACACCAAGGCACGCTCCAGAAGCCCCACCGAGACACATCGTAGTAGCCCCACAAGGACGCGCTCCGGCAGCCACTCCAGGCCACACTCTAAGAGCCACACAGAGCTGTCCTTAGTGGAGGCGGATAATGAGCTGGACATCGAGGCCAACATTTTTTGCCCCCCGCCCATGTACTATACCTGTCCGCCTGCCAGTCCCAGCCCCATGCCTCCATCTACCTCATCTGTCATAATGACGGTTGCTGCTGCTCAGGAATCTTTTCCAGATGAAGTTGTAACAGTCCCCTCTGCAGTCCCTCTCATGGAGAAGGAGCCTGCCAGGCCTTTTCGGGAGGCAGTCCCTGCAGCACAAACGGGAGGCAGCCCGGAGCAGCTCAGGCAAAACCTGAACCAACTACCTCTCCTCAACGCCTTGCTGTTGGAGCTGTCTCTGTTGAACAACCCGTCTTTGCAGCCGCAGCCGTCTTCCGTGCACCCTCAGTTGGCGTGGCTGTACCAAAACAAAGAGGTGGCGAAAGACCCGTGTGACAAAACTGTGTGTCCCTGCTGCGAAGAGAAGAAAGGCGCTCATCATAAAGACAGAGGGAGGTCGATAAGTCCCAAGTTAAAAAGAACCCGTCCAGAGCATTTAAAGTGCATCTCCCCTGCCTTCCCTCTCCCCTGCCTTGGAAAAACTTCCCCCAAAATAGCCTATTCTGAAAGACTTCGCACAGAGAAAAATAATGCCAAAGAAAACTCTCCTCCTAGGAGAAAGCTTACTTACGGGCTCACAAACACGCTGAGGCTCCGCCTGCAGCGGTCCAACCCAGCTATGTTGAAAGTTCATGAAAAACGGGAACATCGTAGGAAAAAACAAGGAGAGTTAGTTGAAAAGAAAAAGAAAACCTCTTCGGGCAAAGGGAAAGGACTTCGTGGCTCCCCTGAGGTTCAACCAAAGTCTTCTGAGGACTTTGATGAAAAAAGCATCCCTGATCAAAAAGCTCAAATTAATGAAAATGTTGAGACTTTGATCCAAAGCAGTGTTGACCAAATTTGTCCTACCGCAAAGAAAGGTGTTGTGAAGAACAGTGATGACGGAAAACAAAAGGTCTCGTATGAAACGATTGGCTCTCCTTGTAATGAAAATGGTCTGAAATTCCATCTGCCGGCATTCTTTTTACAAGAGAGTGAAGGCCTTGAAAACAAAATTGATACAGATGTGGAAAAGAGTGGAGAGCACAATAGTTCTGAAATTTCATCTATACAGAACGATAGCCAAAGTAATAAGCTGGAAAACAGCCATGAATTTAATAATGTCGATGGCGTACAGGTGAACTCTGGCAACACTGCCTATTCAGAAGATTTCACCAGTGCTGACATTTCAGTCCCAGGCTTAGAGTCTCAAGAGAGCAGTCCGGATTCATTAATGGAAAGCCAGGATGAAAACCACTCTGTCTTGGATTCAGATTCTAAAATATCTGGAAGAAGTCACACTACTGAAAGTATTTCTCCACCTCTTCCAGTACTTTCTGCTGCCTCTCCCATCCAGTCTTTTAAAAAGACACATAGTTTAAAATCTGATACAAAAAGCACAGGTGTTCTTTTCAGCCAGCTTCTTGGTGAGTCTTCTCCTCCAGAAACTGTAAAGGAAGAAGTGGTGGCTCAAGATTCAGTGGAGGAAGGAGGGAGCAGAGCGGTATTACAGAATAAAGAAGTGAGCTCCGATTTGAACTGGAACATCGCAAAAAGCCAGTCTGTGGAAAAGAGCAGCTCGCTAAGGACATCTCAAGTTAGCTCTTACTTGCCTTCCAATGTGTCTGACCTTGATCTTAGTGGGTTAGAAGATAGTAATGCATCTGAAAAAGAAAATGAGGACTTTGCAGTGTTGAATATTACTAATCAGTGTAGGCACATCAGTGAGCTAATAGTAAATAAGCTTCCAGGATATACAATGTAATTCCCAATAATAATGATTTGATCAAAGCAAAAATGTCTGTATTTTTTTTATAAGCGAGCATATTGTATAAGTATTTTGGTTATTGTTTAAAAATACAGTATTTATTTATTTTGTGTCAAAAGCATTGCATAAAATAGTTTATCTAAAACTACTAAAATAGTTTACCTAAAACTAATAAAATGGTTTATCTAAAACTGATAAAATAGTTTATTAAAAACTGAAAAAAAATAAAGGGATCACAAGCTGCTAGATAGGTTTGGACCAAAAACGGGCAACAGCAACTGCATTCTTTGTAGCTTTATACAATTCTTTCTCTGTTCATGAGGCAGGGCATTGTGGGCAAGCATACAGATGCTGGGTTGTTTGTTCCGCTCCACAGTTGCACAAGGTGGAACTACGTAGTGCCATTTTGCCAGGTTGTCTTTTGATCTGCCAACTCCACTTCTGAGTCTGTTCAGGGACTTCCAAGTTACACGTTCTTGGTTTGCCGATGGAGCCAGACCCTCGTGGGGAGGCATCCAGTTGGAATTGCCTGATTTTGCTGCTGGAGGGACATTTAGAGGAGTGGTGGTTCTCATGAAACTTTTCCTTGATTCAAGTCTACTGGGAGGAGGCTGATAGCCATATAGTGGGTGGCTTTCTACTTTATAAGAAAGGTATACTTCCAGTTATTACCATAGGTATAAAGAGTTGGTAACGAGCAGGCCAAAAGCCTGCATGATTAGTTCAAAACAGCTTGTTAGCTTTTAGGTTCTTCACATTTGCAATGTAACATTGCTTTTGAATCTCAGGAGCGTTTCCAAAGTTGTTTTAATAATGCTATGAATAGCATCTGTTCAGATCTAACATTCACACTCCATTTGGAAGTTATTGGGTATGCCTAAAGCAGCTCACTGAATTCCCCACCCCATATTGTCCATTTATTTTTCAGCAGTAAAATAATGTACACTAGAATCATGCTTCTCACTCAGATATTTTATGCCTTTTAAATCAATTAGTAGAACTTAAGCAGACCAGTTGAGCTCAGGCCTCAATTCAATGGATTCACATGAGTTGTCAATGGCAATAGGCTCTATAACATATCTTCAACTTCGGTGATAATTGTGCTTCATCACTAATGCAGATTGTTGTAGGATTTTACTCCTGTTGTCTCGCAGTCACACTGTTGAAGCAAATGGAAACATACTGGTATTGAAACTAACTATTTCACTTCTCTGCAATCACTGTGATGTTGATTTGTCAATGCACAGTCCCATGATCATTCTTCTGCACTGCTTCATTAACACTGCTGTCTTGTACCCAACACATGCTCTCTTGGCTAATTTATTTTTCCCCTGATTGCACAATTATAGTAAAGCAATAAAATAAAGCCAATAGAAAGGAAAAAATGAGTGAAAGCTTTTTCACCCTGCTTGGGAATAGTGAGGGGGAGAGGAGGAGAATCCCCTGTGCCTGCTGGAATATTCCTTCTGCCAGCACTCAGTGGCATATAGAGCCACTGAGTGCTTAACATTGACCTGTAGGTTTTCAATTTTAGGTGGATTGGGATCTTCTTATCACACATGCCTGTCATTGCTCTCCACATTTACATGTCCGTGAGCCTCCCAACAGTATGTCGCCAGTGGAGGTGATCTTTGAGCCGAGGTATTTAAAGATGGTCACTGTTGAGGTTGGTGCCATTGATATTGATGGAGTTATCCTCTACCATTGGTCCGCATTCCATGTATTCGGTTTTTGAGATGTTGAGCCATAGTCCAAAATATTGCAGACGATTTTTCTACACTTGCACTTGAGTCTGTAACTCTTACCTGAACATCGCTGGCATACAAAAGCATCCCAGGCTGCGGCTTCTGTATGTCTGGTGATTGCTTCAATGCATAGTATGTGATCTCAACACCACCCATATAAGATCAGGGAAGGGCTTGCTGATTCCTGCTGTGCACCTTTACCACACTTATCGGATTCACGTACAGCATTTTTTTTCTTACGTATTCTTCCAGTACTCCGTGATCTCAACACCATTCATATAAGATCATGCGAAGCCCTGTCAAGTGCCTTCTCGACATCTAGAAATGTGGTGTGGATGTAAGGTTTAGAGAATGTGACTTGACAAAAGTGACTAAGTGGGTTTCTGTGAGTGGGGATTAAAACCGGTCTCCCAATATCCTAGTTTCATGCTCCAACGACTGTACCACATGGCCTCATTCTCCATGCTGGCTCTGAATCTTAAGTAAGACTTGTTCATTTCTTATAACATTGCAGTCAAATTACCTGCTAGTAGGTCACTGATGTTTATGAAAGAAAGAAGTCCTTCCTCATTTGTTTCTGAGATTTGGGTGGCAAATTAATTTCACCTTGATAGAGCTAATGAAAAGATGGAAGATGTTGCGTAAGCAGCTCCAATATACTGTATATACAGGTAACAATGGGAAAGGAACACGTTTTTCCCTTGGCAGTCATTCCGGACTACTAAAGAGTATTTTCAACATCACCACCAAGAGACATGTCCCCTCCTGTAACTGAATATATTGGTCGACAAAAGGAGCCTTCTCATCTGGAGGTAGGAGGAGCCCCCAGTGGCGCAGTGGGTTAAACCCCTGTGCCAGCAGGATTGAAGACCGACAGGTCGCAAGTTAGAATCCAGGGAGAGCGTGGATGAGCTCCCTCTATCAGCTCCAGCTCCTCATGCGGGGACATGAGTTAAGTCTCCCACAAGGATGACAAAACATCTATGATCAGGTGTTCTGGAAGCTGGACAACGTCCCCACAGATGGTCAATTCTCTCACACCAGAAACAACTTGCAATTTCTCAAGTTGCTCCTGACATGACAAAAACAAAAATCTGGAGGTAAAGAGTTAAGTGCACATGCCTTTTTCTCATTCAAAGCATATTTAAATCTTTATACATGCAGGGTTTGAAACTGCTGATACAAAAAATGCAAAAAGAGCTATAATGATCCTTTGAAGTCTTTGGCATGTCAGCCAAAGGTTTACTTTACATTTCTCCTACCCATACATTGTAATCCTACTTCGAGCCCTTTACATTTGCATACAAGTAGAAAAGGAAGATGCTCTAGCCTCATGCTGTATATTTAACACTGTCTAGCTTAGCCCTAAGTTAAACTTCAGAGCTATTTCAGAGTATCACTTCAGTTGCCATATGTCAGCTTTGGCTTCTACTGTACCATTGCAAACATTTTTAAACATTTAAGCTGGTTTGCTAAAAGCAAGGTGTTACATGTGATAGTGATTGTATGCATTCATCTCGAATAGACTACAGTGACGCACTCTACATGGAGCTGCCTTTGAAGACTGTTCAGAAGATCCAAGTAGTCCAACTGGTGGCAGCCAAGCTCACCCAAGTGGCGTACAGAAAATGGGCATCCCTCCTGTTACGTCAGCTCCGCTGGCCACCAGTTTGCAACCGAGCACAATTCCAAAGTGCTGGCTTTAGCCTATAAAGCCCTAAATGGCTCTAGCCCAACTTACCTATCCAAACATATCTCTCACTAGGAATCAGAGTGTTAATTCTGATGGGGAGACCCTGCTCTCAGTCCCACCCCCTTCACAAGTGTGTCTGGTGGGGATGAGAGACAGGGCCTTCTCAGTGGTGGCCCCTCAGCTATGGAACTCCCTCCCCAGGGATAATAGACTGGCCCCCTCCCTCCTGGTTTTCAGAAAAAAAAGTTAAGGCCTTGCTCTGGAACCAGATGTTTGGGGAATAGTGCAATACAGAACTGATATGAAGGCAGCAGCATGAAGCACAACCATAGGTTTAGGACTGTTTTTAACAGTTTTAATCAGTTTTATTGTTTTTATATGTTTTATCTGTTTATTGTCTAATATGTATTTATACAGTGTGTATTTGCAATGTGGTGCTGATGTGGCCAAACTGTAAGTCGCTCTGAGTCCCCTTTGGGGTGAGAAGAGGGGGGTAGAAATACTGTAAATCAAGCAATCAATCAATCTTGCCCTGATATAACAAATCAACTCGCCCTTCCCATGGAGGTAAAATCAGCCCCCTCGCTGATGGTGTTCTGAAGAAGATTAAAAACCTGGATGTTTGAATGGGCATTCGGTTAAACAGTGCAACCAATGTGATGATTACAGGAATTGGAAAATTGGACGACGAACTGGTTCATGATTTTAGTTATGAGATGCATTGTGTTGTTTATTGTTGGATTAATATTGTATTTTATGCCTTTGTGGTTTTACATTGTATATTGTTGTTGATTTTATCCTTGTTGTAAACCGCGTTGAGTCGCCGGTCAGGCTGAGAAACGGCGGTATACAAGTATAAGAAATAAATAAATAAACTCTGGAAACATTTTTGCAACAAATATCAAGGCTGAATGACTCAGGTGAATAGGTAGGTCTTCAGTTCATTCTTGTACATTTCTATTTGGTGCACCCTTGAATCTATACAAAAAATAGTTCTGGCATCAATGTATGTTTGATAATTGCTTGATAATCAGTAAGTTAAATAATGTAAACATACATAAACAAGGTTACAGGTTCTTAACTTTTTAAGTAAGTGGAACAGCAGGAATCTTAACTGCAAAAGAAGCAAGCTGCTAATTAATGACATGAACAGAAGCATTTTTAATGATAAATACGCATCAGCTTTACTAATAATTATTGTACTTCTGTAATAGAGAAATCTTAGAAGCCAAGAACATGTCAACTGTTAAAGACAAACTAACTACTGTCTACTACAGGGCTGCACAACCTCCAGGTGTTTTGGACTTCAGCTTCCAGAACACCTGATCACAGAACAAGCTGGCTTAGGCTTCTGGGAGTTGGAGTCCAAAACACCTGGGCCACAGGTTGTGCAGGTCTGGTCTAATATATCCTTCACACTACTTTTGTTGTATAATAAGGCTCAAGGACTAATATACAAGCTAGGAAATTTCTATCTCTATTCTGTTTTGTGATTTACAAGCAATTTTTGTTTGAATACACGTTGCAACTTCTATTGTGGTATTGTATATAGATATCTGTGTTTCTTTGACGTATAATAAGGCTCAGCCAAATTTCTAATGTTGACAGTCTGGTTGCAAAGCAAGCTCCCAATATGGAAGCATTTGTTTGAGTCCCAATTTGCATACAATAATTGGAAACTGGGGCATATGTGGCCAAGCGTGCTGGCACCTTAAAGAAAACTACTAATTTTTAAAAACTTTTAAATGTAAAATAACAAAGAGAAAAACATGAACAGAACCAAAGTATCTTTCTCACCTCATCATTGT